GGCACATAGATTGAGGGGGGCGGGGGAGACCTGAGCGCTCTCTTTACTTCCTCGCTTAATGCAGCTTCAAGTGTGGTCGTCATCGTCGTTGTCGTCTCTAGTGGGAGGTCGTTCGGTCAGCAATGCACGCATGATTTATTCCGCAGGCCACTTGAAAACCGTGTACCCCCTGCCCAAGACCAAGACCAAGCCCCCCACACCCACATACACGATGGAGCCCCCTACTACACCTCCACCTCCACCTCCACCTCCATCTCCGGCTTCAGCTCCAGCTCCATCAGTGCCCACATTATGCACTTTTCGTCATTCTCAACAAGGGGCGCTGATTGACAGCCGCATTGCGTCCGAGGGTGCACGAAATGGAGACACTGCCACACAGACCTTATAGCTGCAGTCGGAGAAAAGTTACCACAGATAAAGAATATCACACTGCATCGTATTTCAGTTGATAATATTCTGAAGTATCTTGTAGTTACGTCTTTCTGGCATCAGTTTTATTACACCTACATCAATTTAGGAAACCTCTTTGGCTATAATATGATGAGAACGACTCTAAATCTAATTTTGTTATATGTAATGATATAATATGGTATTAGTACTTTATACTGAAACTATTGTTATTCACATCTACATTCTAATTATTTCCAATACCAGAGACACTGCGAATCCAGCCCAAGTATCTGGAAACATCAGAAAATCCCACCGGATCCCCAACTTCACATCCCAGATAAGACAAAAATGCGGAGACTCCGATCAGTTTGTTCTCCCCATTGAGCACCAGCGGTCCACCAGAGTTCCCGTAGCAGGTGGACTGTGCATCGCCAGATTGAGCGCACAATAGCCCTACTAATTTATTTCCGTATCGTCTTCTGCACACGGATACATCCAAGACCTTTAGTGTAGCCCAAAACAAGCGAACGGATCTACTTCCATGGTCATGTAGTTGGCCCCATCCGGCGATAGTAGCCCATTGACCCACATAATTATTATAGCCATATTTGGGTTCTGTTGGTAGTGCAATGCTTTGGATGCGATCACTGAACTCCACCCACTCAGTGCGAATCAGTGCAATATCGTTGATAATATCTCCGCTTCATAAGTGGATGATGTTTGGTCCATACGGAGCCATAATAGAGGGTCACCCACGTGGCATCCTCAGTACAATGACCAGCCGTGAGTACCCAGTCGTAGGCTATAATGCTGCCACCGCACAGAACGGTTCTGTTGTTTCCGGCTTCGATCTTAACTTGAACCGCGTATGGGAATTGTCTTTGATCGGCCAGTTTTCCATTGACGATACGCGGCAGCACCTTCGCCTCTCCAACAATAAAGTCTCGGACCAACAGAAGACACAAAACTATCAACATTTTGAGATCGAGACTGACTTAGACCTAAGTGCCATTGCTACTGCATTATATGCGGTTCTTTCTTATCAACATTTAACCATTATTGTGCTAAAAGAACGACATTCCTTAGTCTAGGTTTCAATAATTAAGTTTCCCCATTACGAAGGGCGACACAAGATACGTCTATTGATTGATGATGGTAAAATATTGGTGTACTATTCTAAAAATAATATTCCTAGCAATTACTTATGGACTCTCATTTCCCGTTCATAAATTTCGAAGCCCCTCCCGCTTATTGAAGCGTAGTATATGATAATTTCTTTCAGTGCAGCATATTTGAGCTATGCGCATTTTGCATAACTCTGCACCCTTGCCGGGGGTTAAAACAGTTCCGAATGGGTAACCCGCTAATCCTCTGCGCCTGTCATAAACATTGACATTGATGTTGATGCCTGATGCTGATGACGACGATGACGCAGGGCGATGTTCGTAGCTGCTTTTGTGCCACTGACAACTGACAAGTGGGCGTGGTGGCAGCGGCGGCAGTGGCGGCAGTGGCGGCAGTGGTGCTACTGTTCCTTCTCTTCTACTGCTGGGCGACCAACTACCCAAGTATCTGCGTATCCGCGTATCCGAGTATCCGAGTACCCGACTAACCCCCTGCCACGTTTCGCTACGCTCCACAAATTGTGGAATCGTCGGACTTATTCCGGCGTATGCCCTTTAACGATTGTATTCGTCATTCGAGCAGACAGACAGGACGGTTGACATTCATTTGAAACGTTTCATGAACCCAGAACGCAGCGGCGGCACCAACAGCAGTAGCAGGGAAAAAAAAAGGGATATACCCCCCAAAACGGGGTTCGGTATACAGTGATCTACCAGTGGCAACCACAGTGCGGCACAGCGGCAACAGAGGCAACAGAGGCGGCATCAACTCGGGCGCATGTCAATCATTAAACTGTCATTTTCAGTCGATTTAACTAGCATTAAAAATCGTCCACAATTGCCAGGATTTATGCATTGTGCGTAAACTGTCATAAATTTCCACCGAGTGCCAGAGTGCCGGAGTGGCAGTGCCGGAGCGGCAGTGCCCTCTGAGAGCCCACAGATCCCATGTTAAGCTGCCCTAATTTTTTATGGTCTGCAAACTAATTTTTATTCATTTTCCTCGCCACCAAAACTAAGCGCGCAAATTTATTTTCATACGCCCCAGAACCACAGAACGAAAAGCACTTGGAACCCAAAGAAACCTAAAAGAAGATGAAGATGGAAATGTTGTACGAATTTGGCTGAAAAATCTTTAATTTTCATCTGGGGCCAATCTCGGCAGCCATTAACCAAGGGAACGACGGCAAATGGAAAAGGAAAACTGCTGACAGACAGGACATTCGTCCCCGAGCAGTTCCGTTTCCGTTGCTTTATTTTCCATTCGTTGGGCCACAAAAAGGAAAAAGGAAAGAAAAAAAATCGTTGTATCCGAAAATTATGGAAATTTATTAATCACATAAATTTAAAGCATAATGTGCGTGAGTGGGCCGACTTTGGTCCCCATCGCGGCTCGTTAATGGGTCCCAAAACGACGAAAGCGAAAGACGTCGAAGGACGGGGCATAAAAAATGCGTTAGGGCCAGAAGTGAAACCTCTAGGAGATGTCTCTGCATCTTCATGGAGGCTTAAACAAACTTTGTGCTGTGGTCGCGGCCCCAAAATAGGGCTGGGAGAAAGCCGTGGGGTGGGGTGGGGTGGGGCAGCCGAATCTGTTGATGTGTAAGCAAATATTTTGCTCAAATTGTGGGAAAGTGATTCATCCAGCAGGGTGATTCAATCAGCAAAGGTGGAGTGAGGCAATTCCTGGTGTGAGTTAATTTAAGAAAGTTATGGAATTTATGCTCGTAGAATACTGTTTTATCTGCTGGAAGTCCTCCATTCTCCCCAAGTATATCCAGGAAGCAGTAGAAGCCATATGGATTATGTGCAACACTTCCTTTATAAAATTATCGGAATGGTTAAAACAAGCTCCAAAGCAAATCCCCCAAAAACAAAGTGCCAACATGTGTTGCACTTAACCCCACCGGGGAAAGTCCCCTCTCTTACTTCTATCCCCCATCCCAACACATGCAGCACACGCGCCCCTCTAAGCCTTTTGACAGCTCTCCTCCTGCACTGCTCCTCCTTCCGTGCCTCCTTCCGTGCCTCCTTCCGTGCCTCCTTCCGTGCCTCCTTCCGTGCCTCCACCCGCCGTTGGATAGGGAAAATTCGCCAAACAGCACGTGTACGTAAACGGATGAGGGAGTACGAGTACGGAGGGTGGGACTGGGACTGTGGAGGGGTCCACTGGGGTGAGAGGGGTGCTTCTGTGGTGCTGACATTTAAAGTAGCTGCCAGCCATTGAAGTGACAAAACTAAAGATAAGACTCAATCACGTGTAGTCTGACACTGACAATCGCTGCAGACGGAAAAACGAAAGGAAAACTCACCAGCAACAAAATAGAAAATCAATTTCCACGTTTTAGCTGAACGTAGGGATGGGGCTGGTGGTGGGGAAAGGAGAGTATGGGGGAGGGGGAGAGGGAGAGGCATGCCATGCCATGCAAGCAGTTGCTTTGAATTTTCATATGGCGACAACATTAGTGGCACGCAGAGGGGGGCGAATGAAGGCGAATGAAGAGTGACATGCAGACAAGCTGTGTGGCACGGGGAACAAGGGGCACTGGGGGCCAGGACAAAGAAGGTGTCACTAACAGGAACAGGATAAATGTGCAAAACAGCAACAGACAGGAAAAAGAGCTGTCAGGCCAAGGAGGAACAAGAAACGAACGTGAAAGAATCCTGAGCCGAAGCTATAGATACCCTTGTAGATAATATTTCATATAAAAACTATTGGATATAGTCTATAACTTGGCTATGCCGAAACTGCAATAGAGTCTGTGCAAGTCTCTGTGCAAGGGGTCTAAAAATGTATTCATTCGGAAGTACTGCCCCTTGCCGTGGAAACATCAGCTCAAAGCCGTCATAGCCCCTGCAAGGGTACTGAAAACCAGGACGAGTGGAAGCTGGAGTAGTACCAGTGGCCGGGACAGCTTTTGGGTTGTGTTTAGCTTGTTTATCATGTCAGTTGTACGCTCCCAGAATTGGCAGCATTAAGCAGCGACATCACTTTGTATGCAGGAAAAGCGAGGGAGGGAGCCGGCGGGAGGGAGTAGAACTCAGCTGTCGCTATCAAGATAATACAACTTGCTCCATGGTGACTGCAGCTTGCATCTTCCTCTGACCAGATACAGCTACAGCTAAGGCTGCAGCTACTGTGGCATCTCCATCTCCAGCTCCAGCTCTCCTTCCGCTTAACGATTTTATTTGCCCAACTTGTGTAAATGTTAACGCAGCAGCAGCAGCAGCAGCAGCAGCATCAGGAAAAGTAGCAGCCACAGCAGCCGCTTGAAACTACGGCTACGGTTCTGACTACGTCTCCGTATCCGTATCCGATGCAAGCAAATAAACAAGCCCAGCAGAACGAAACGAAACGAAACCAAACAGAAACCAAACAGAAACCAAACAGAAACCAAACCAAACCAAACTCAGGAGTAGCCAAACCACAAATAGATCTTACAGTTGGCCCGCTAAGCTTCAGATACCTTGAAGACAGTGGTACGATTCTCATGGGGAGAGTGCAGCAAATATATATTTATATATGATAATGAATCATTAGACATTATGGCGTTACACCAGAGAGATGGCGAATCCAGCCCAAGTATCTGGAAACATCAGCAAATACCAACGGCTCGCCATCTTCACATCCTGAATCAGATCCAGATGACACGACTCCGATCAATTTGTACTCCCCATTGAGTACCAGCGGTCCACCAGAGTCCCCGGAGCAGGCGGACTGTTCATCGTCAGATTGAGCACACAATACCCCTTTCAAGTAATTTCCGTATCGATTTCTGCATTCGGATTCATCGATGACCTGCAGCGTTGCATAAAACAAGCGATCGGATCCGTGGTGATTGTTATATAGATGACCCCATCCGGCGGTAGTAGCGCAAAAACCCACATAGTCACTAGGCCCATTATAGCCATATTTGGGTTCTGTTGCCAGAGGGATGCTTTGAATGCGAGCACTGAACTTTACCCACTCCGTGCGAATTAGTGCGATATCGTGGACAGCACCTCCTCCGATTCTTTTGTACTGGGGATGTGGGAATACGTGATCTTTCACCAATAGCTTCATGGATGAATTATATTGTTTCTGTATAGAGCCATAATAGAGGGTCACCCACGTGGCATTATCAGTGCAATGGGCAGCCGTGAGTACCCAGTCGTTGGCTATAATGCTGCCACCGCACAGAAAGGTTTCGTTGTTTCCGTCTTTGATCTCAATTTGAACCACGTATGGGAATTGTCTTTGCTTGGCCAGTTTTCCATTGACGATACGCGGCAGCACCTTCGCCTCTCCAACAATAAAGTCTTGGACCAACAGAAGACACAAAAATATTAACATTTTGAGATCGAGACTGACTTAGCCCTAAGTTCCAGTGCGACTGCCTTATATACTTATATTCTTTCTTATCGACACTCAACTATCTTTCTATTAAAAGAAACGACATTCCTTAGCTCCAGTTTCAATAATTAGGTTTCTGATAGGGAGAGCTGTAAAGCCACTCAGGATACCTGTGTTGATTGATGTTGGCGGAATACATATTCGAGAAGATAATTTGCAAGAGTGTAATATTCTTGGGGGTGGGTATTTTTTAGCTCTTGTACAGCACCGATTTGATTAAAAATTAAACCCACTATCAAGGAGTCTTATTTTGGGTTGGATTTGGCTGGACTTCGGACACTGTGCCCCACAGAGATACGAGTGTGTACTTCCTTAAGACGCAGGCAGCTCAGAAGCATCTCAGCTTACATTTTGTTGCAGTGGCAGTGGCAGGCAAACATCACGTGTGCGTCTCTCTCTCTATCTGTCTGTCTGTTTGTTTGTGTGTGCAGGTGTAACTGTATCTCTTTGGGCATGTGTGTTTGTGTGTTTGTGTGTGTGTGTCTATCTGTGTGTTTTCGCTGCCAAAACAATGCACTCGACGAGGACGAGGACGACGACGACGACAACGACGACAGCATCAACATGCATAAAATACATTTTCATTCGCATTTTATTTGTTTTAAGCTGCGACTTTACACAAAGCCAACAAAGTGGCAGCCGCCCTGCCATCTGTGTTTGTCGGTGTATGTGTGTGTTTGTGTGTGAGCCGGATATAGCGACGGATATCGAAAAGTTTTTCCTGGTAATCTCACTCTCTTCTCCAACGTACGAAAAAGTCATAAAAGTGTACATATATGGTTTTTTAAAATGACAGCAGCTGGAAATTAAGTTCTTGACTTTTATGTTCGCCGCAAGTTCCGAATTATTGATATGGCTGAGCACTGGATCAGTACCAGAGAGAGAGTGGGACTCCTTCCTGGCTGAGATTTCTCCGTCTAGGCGTTAAGGAAAGTTAAGGTGTGTTTTACGATGTGCAAGAGAGAGAGAGTGAGCGGAAAAGGGAAAGCATTTGTCGTAAATGGATACCCTACTCCTTTGGGGCGGGGGCCAAAGCGAGAGTTCTCCCCTCACACACATTGTAATTCCATCATCGAATGGTGGGATAGTAGGGGACGGACCGTTTGTAATTGGCTTTCGGTGCATGCGGCAGGCAGCACATCATCATTCTGGCACCGTTTCTGTATAATCTCATCAGCATTCGAAATGAGTTTTGACTCGAGTCGAACAGAACAGCTCGTAATCACATTAAAAGTATGTCACACTTCAATTACTGTCAGCGACAAGTCCAAGTATTTTGTTATTAATTTTAAACCATTTGTTGCGCTCTCGAATGGGAAATTCTGAGACTGTTCTCTTTCGGTTTCGGGATGAGGTCTGGTCTGGTCGGTTCGCTGGGGTACAGACACAGCTGCCAAACACATGCGAACGTGTGCAAGTGTCGCCTGCCACACGTTTTGCATTAGGAATGCCTTCCCTTCCCTTCCCTTCCCTTGCCTTTGCCTCGTTCTTTTTTTTTTTGGGAGGGGTGGGGAGGCGGCGCAACGTGAAAATTGTGAAAAGTCAGCATGTGGTTTGCGTCAGAGTGTCTGGCATGAAGTTTTCCATTCACTTTACGGTTATGCCTTGGAGACCTCAAGCTGTGCGCCTGCGCCCAGACCCACTGACGATGGCGATGGTCGACGGTCGACGGTCGACGGTCGACGGACGGGGCTAATTCATTTGTAAATGTCTTTGTGCTATGCGACACACATGTATGCTTAAGGATTAGTGATGGTAGCGTGAAACGTATGGATCATCTATAGATTAATGTTAATAGGAAATACTACGAGTAAAAGTAGTAGAATTTTGCAATCTTTAAAGAATTATGAATGAAAAATTAAAAGAAACTGAGTGTTTGGAACCTAAAAGAGGCCCTTATACCTTCAAGCTTTAAGCTACGCATTTAAGACGAAAGATTCTGTCTGTTCTGTTTATTTGTTGGTTTACAGAGCTAACTGTCTACTAACTATTGATTCTCATGCAGCAATCACTCAGACATTCTATCTTTAGTCCTCACTTTACCATCTCTAGTCACGAATCGACATCATAAAGCCACAGGCGGTGGTACCTGGTGCCAGCAGGCAGCAGGAAAGGCGACGGAATCCCAAGGCAGAGCAGAGCGGAGCAGAGCAGAGCAGAGCAGAGTGTCGCTGCATACGCCCCATATCTGACACTTCTTTTCGAGAGTCGCGTGAATTCTGGGTAATTACAATTTATGGTGACGCAGTTTCTCAGGCGATTCCCTCGCCGTTCTCCTTCTGCTGTCGATCCAATTCCATTTTCATTTCGAGTCCCATTTCCATTTGTATGGGTGAAGTGGCACCCGCAGTGCGTGTTTGTATTGCTTTTGAATTGAAACTCGATTGCGAAACAAAGGTCGAGCTGTGGAGAGGCCCTTCAGCATACCCCTCCCTCCCCTCCCGGCTCCGTTCTATTCTCTGTTCCAGTTGCCTTCCACGAAGCAATAAGCAATAGTTTTGTTCTGTTCTTGCCTCAAAGGCAACAATGGAACTCGAGTGCACCTTGCCGTTAGCCATGGGGTAGCGCACGTAGCCTTTGAAGGAAACTCTCTTAGACTCGGTGTCTGCGAGGCCGGCTAATGGTTCCAGAGACATCATTAAACCTCCTCGTACTCCTACTTCACAGCACTGCAGCCCTCCCCCCCCCCCCCCCACTCCACCTTCTTCATTGCGTTCGTATGGTTACATCATCATGCGGGCAGTTGTCTAGTATTCCCAGGGCCATAAGCCGCACAAATAATTACAAAAAGAAATGAAAAACTTGGCGCAATGTTCCCAAAAATTTGCTATGCATTCTGTGGCGGGCGTTACGCTTCAGTAGATTGAATTATTCACCCCTCTCTCTCTCCAGCGCCCCCCCCGCCCCGGACCGCGATGGTAATGCATTTCATATACGGATAACACACAACTCAATTAAGTTTGCTGTCGTTCGTCGCTTCCAAGCGAAAAACTTAATTTAATGCTTAATTGCAGGGGGCCCTACAAAACATGCGGGGTATAGGGGGTGACTGGGTGCCTGGGTGCCTGGGTGACTGGGAAATTCAATTTGAGCCTCCGTTTGATCCTTGGAGCATATGCTGCCCTGCCCCCCCGCCGCGCATCAATTGATAAGCAATTTTCCAATTCGCCTACAATTTTCATTTTCATTTCCATTTAAATAGAAAAATCCCACGCAACACAAAAGAAGAAAGAAGAATTTCGCACAAATGCCAAAATATGATGAAAGTCCGCTCTTAGGCGGGGGTCAGGCGGGAACAGGCGTTAGCTGCAAAGTGGGCGTGTTCAGCTATGTGTGACGGTGGCGGTGGCGGTGGGCCAGGGTGAGGGGTAGTGGTAGGGGTGGGGGTAGGGGGACTGTAGCATAAAGCCAAATTCAATATAAAAATTCAAATCATTCAATTATCTGTGGCTCAACGCGGCGGCAGCAGCAGGAGGGGCAGGACGATAAGAGGGATGCGACGGGGAAAAGGCACAAAAAGTTGAATCAATTTGGCAATTGAATTTCATGGAAAAGTCAGGAAAGTGGGCAGAAGCCGGGCGGAAGAAGCGAGCATATTCGACTTAAACAAGTAAAATAAATGGCATTTATCAGAAACAAATCAAATTTCCGCTTGTAATGTAAGCAAAACGAACGAAAGATACAAAATCCGAGGTACAGATAAAAAGGAAGAAGCGCCACAACGAAAACTGTGTACTCTTAACGAGTTAGGGTAAGGAAATGAACCGAATTTTAAAGACAGAGCCGCCCTGGAATGCCAAATATTAAATTAATGGTTTTTGAGAGGAAGAAATGTCTGAAAACTATTAGTACAAACCACTTCTTCTTTCAAAATTCAACACAATTTCCGGGTACCCAAAATGGAATCGAATACATAAAGAATGATATCGAATTGATGACGTAAGCTGGCTGGATTTTCAGCCTACAAATCCATGAAATCCCTTGTTCACTTTTCGCAAAGTCTAAATTCTTTTTCTTTTTTTTTTTTTTGGCAACTTTTTCAATAAATATTTGTTGTAGATAGATGTACTCGTATCTTTTTTGGCAAATCAACATCTCTCAGCTATTCCAACATTTTTTCCATTTTCCCATCCTTGAAATTTCCCATTTCAATTTACAGCCATTAAATCACGGCAGCAGCATCACGAATATACAGGTTTATATACTATACACATACATATATGTATACGTATACGTATACTGCTAAACAATGCTCTAAATAAACAATAAAATGGATGGCATATAAAAAGAGAAAATTGCATGCCATATCCCCATAGAGAGTGCGGAAAATCACGAAAAATCAACGCGGGTTTCGATTTCTTTCTGCTGGTTTTTCCTGCTTTTATTAGCCCTTTTGATACGTGTGCACGTATTGGCGTGTATCCATGAGATACGCGATACCCATTCCGGTGGCTGGGGCATTGAATTACACGACAATGCTCGGCGATGTTCGACTCCTTCTTTCTTTCTCTCATCCTCTCGCTTCAGAGTTAATGAGTTCAATTCGCTTCGCTGACTTTTCCGTGTCGGAGTTTTGAGTTTCAACTGTTGCAGCTGCTTCAAGAAGGGCCTAACGAGGCCCCGGCACGCCCACTGCGATGCGGTTTTGGCCATTTGTTTATGCACTGAAGGAGGCACCGGAGGGCAGGTCAATATTCTTCAGAAAAACCGCAACGTGTTCTCCCTCTTCTGTTGCCATCGTGGGTGTGATGAAGGTGCGTGCGGCTGCTACTGTATCTGCTGCTCTGTGTATCTCAATCTGTGTACAAGTACAAGTGCAAGTACATGTATCTGTATCTGTATCTGCATATGCCCATCTGCATGTGTCGTTGCCGTATCTGGGGTCGCATCAGTGCCAGGGCTGAGCCTCAGCTTAATGCGCTTGCATAAACAATGTGCGACAGT